CAATTATGATTTAGCTTGTAATTATAGGGCCGATCGCTCTAGAACAGGGGGAGGCGTCTGTTTATATGTAAGAAATTCCCTTAATTATTTCGAACGAAAAGATGTGATTAGAGATAATCTTGAAGCTGTTTGTATTGAAGTTGACAAACTCATTTCTCAGTTTATTGTTGGTACCATTTATTGACCTCCATGAGGTGCTTTTGTCAACTCTTTTGCCAATATATTGAGCAATTAATTAAACTTATAGATGATGAGAATAAGGAAAGAATAAGAAAATAATAATAATATAAATAATTATATGGGAAGATGCTTACCTAATTCCGCTGTTGATTACTTCATCCCGAAGATTGTCATTAAGGCTTCCTATAAGCTTCCCTACATTAACCAGGAAATTATTTATTATTTGAATAAGAAAAAATCGTTGAGAAATAGGGCCAAGGCAGATAATACGCCTCACCTCTGGGAACGATTTCAAGAAATGCGGCGCTACGTCAAAAGTGTGATAAAAATTAAGAAACCGGAGCAACATTCCCAAGTGTTTGGATCAGGTCATCCTAACAGGGAAACCATAAAGTAATTGTTTTATAAAATAACCACAACACGATAGTCTTCCGTGTTTGGATGGCCTGATCCAAACACGGGTTTCGACCAATCAGAGCACGCGTTATATACATGTTATTTTATAATGGAAATTATATTAGACTATAACTTCTGCGTTGACAGGATGTGGGAAACATGGGAAATTCTTTTCTTGTCAGTTCTAGGCAAGCATGCATCCTCCAGTCAGAGAAAATAGTGTCAAATGTAGGCCAAATTAGTGCAATTAAAAAACTAATTCGTGACCGTGAACAAGATCATCTCAAATTCCATGCTGTTAAATATAATTCAGAAAACTACTGGACTGCATATAAACCTCTGGTGAGAAACCAGTACACTGCGAGAAGCAAAAACAGCATATTATAAAGGACAATTTGAAAGTGTCAAACATGACCCTAAAAACCGTTAATAAAATCCTTAAAGTGCATATTACATGAAATTTTTTATTTTCTTAAATGAAAGCACTCTTTAAGTTGTAGAGTAACTTATTGTTTAGTTTCTTGTTTTAATGGTTTGTTCCCGAGATATTTCATTTTGTTTGATATGTAAATGATGTGAATATGTCCGCTAATTTATGACGTCATCTTGGTTGCAAGCTCAACTTACACTGGTTTTAAACGTATTAATTTTAACTCTAAAAACTGATGATATCAGTTTACGTTTTTTCTCCAGTGTTTCATCACATTTACCAGTGAGTGAAGTTTGAAATTATCATCTTGGATAATAGCGGTGATATTCAACCATTTTGAAGAGCTTGCAACCAACATGACGTCATAAATTAGCGGACATATTCACACTCATTTACATGTCAAACAAATTGAAATATCTCGGGAACAAATTATAAAAACAAGAAACTGAAAAATAAGTTGGACTACAACAGAAAGAATACTTCCATTTAAGAAAATAAAAAAATTCATGTCATATGCACTTTAATCGGAAACAACAATGCCATTAATTAAATAAATTGTATCCATACTCAGAATGGTCAAATTTCTTGTCCAAATGAATTAGCGGAGTGCCTTAATAATTACTTAATGTTAACACTGACAGAAATTTCACGGATTACATTAACGAAAACAACAAACAGTTTCAAGTTTCAAACAGTATCTGAAGCCATTGTTTAATACCAATAATGGAAAATTCACTGACAAGAATTTTTAATACGGCTATCTATAGTGAAACTGTTCCTTCAGAGTTCATAGAAACTAGAGTTATTCCTTTAAACAAAAATGGCTCTCGAAACATGCTGAATACATAACTATCGATTGCCCAATTTCCATTCTGCCTATCGTAAGCAAAGTTTTTAAAAAAGTACAATATGGTCAATTATATGATTATTTTGTTGCTAATAATTTGTTGTCTAAAATCAATTTGGTTTTATGCAGTTCCATTCAGACCATTCTACAGCTTCTGCCCTTTTGGACAGTACAAAGGAATGGTTCATTAATATGGACCGTGGTCATTCAATATTGCAGTATTTCTTGACTTGAAGAACAGCAGAAGGCAATCCATTTGATACTATATAAATATGATATATTGATTAAGGAACTTGACCATTATATATGGTTTAGAAAAACCTGCTCTAAATCTTTTAGGATAATACTTAGAGAGCAGATTTCAAATGTGGACTGTAAACGGCGCATTGTCAAAAACCTATTTAGTTACTTGTGGGATTCCCCAAGATTCAATTCTTGGGCCACTATAATTTCTAATCTATATAAACGATCTACCTAGCAGTCTTGAACACTAGTTATGAAGAATGTTTGCCGACGATACGACGTTAACTGTATTTGGTAACTCTCTTCATGATGTGGAAGTGCCATCAATCACGATCTTTCAAACGCTAATCAGTGGCTTTGTGCAAATAAACTCTCATTAAGGCTTGTTAAAACTGAGTACCTACTAATTGGATCATGGCATAGTATCAATATATGTATCTATCTCAAATGTATTTGTTGGTGACATACCAATTAAAATGGTAAAAGAAACAAAGACACTTGAAGTATATATTGATGAATTTCTACGTTGATAAAATTCCCCAAAAGTCTCATCCGGAATTGGGGCAATCAGGTAGTTAAAATCATTTGTTGAACGTAATACTTTATTTTGTGCCCATAATGCCATTTTTGCCTCACCTTGATTACTGTTGCGAAGTTTGGGACACCATTGTTACTACATTTTCTGATCGTCTGCAGAAATAATGCTACGCCCTCTTGGAAATCAGTCTTTGCTGTAGTGGTTAGCGTAGCAAAATAACGTTTTAAGCCAATTTAAAAGGTTTAAATTCAGTTAATGAGACAACATGTTGAAAGCAAGTGTTTTGCAAGCTTATCCTCATTGACACATGCATACAAAGTTTAAATCTCACCCACCCACCCCATCTTACTTGCACTTTGGTTACTAGTTGGTAAAAGGATAAGCTTTCCAAAATGAAAGACTATAAGAGGTGTAAAAGGGCCTATGGACACAAGTTTTTATAATATGGTAAATAAATAAAAAAATGTTATTGTTATGGTTGGTCTTCGCTGGTAATAAAAGCTTTCCAAATTAAGTGAAAGACTATTTGAGGTGTATAAGTGCCTATGGACACAAGTTTTACAATATGGTAAATAATAAAAATTTTTATGATTCCTTTACTGGTAATAAATAAATAAACATTGGGTTCCGGGGAAGGAGTATTCCAATATGTCAACTTCATTTCCCATAGACTCTAGTAACGTCACATATAAATATATATTTCAAATAATAGGGACTGTCTAAGCGGTTCTGTGGAACTTAGACAGGTTAGGGACTGCCCAAGTGGGCAGGTTAGGGACTATCCAAGTGTGCTCTTGGTCAGATACGTCAGGGGGTCGCTACTCCTGACTAGCATTATCAGTTCAGTACAGTATTAGGTATGTGACGATGGGGAGGGATGTCGTTTGGCATAAACACAGAGTACTTCCGCCCAAAACACCCCTTCTCCCACAAAACCAAAACGTGTGTTTTTTATTGTGTTAATTATAGTTTATATTCAATGATTCAATCTTTGGGTCATTAATTGAAAAGAATTGAATAATTACATTATATGAACAATTTAGTCATTGTTCTCGCTCTGTTTACAACGCCAAATCACAGATTTTCACGTCTTGATACAACGGCTGCATTTCATGCTGCAACAAGTGCAACTTCAAACTGGGTTCAACAGAACCTTCTCAAACATAAAACCCATGTCTCCAACTTCTAAGACTGTGTTAAATTCACACGATTGCTAATAAAGCACGAATTATATTTACTACCATTTATTTGAAGGAGTTTGTTTTGGCCATCGTTGTCGCGTAGCCGTCCTAAAATCGTAAGTTCTCTATTAAACGCGGGTGTGCGTGGCTGGTCATCCCTACCACAGAGGTGAGACATAGAGAGTTGTAACTAGTGTACCCACTTTTTTATGCGCATGCTCGGCAAGTTACTAGATGCATGCACCTGAATGGATGACGACCTGATGACGACTCACTTTCAACTTGCTGAGCACGCGCAGTTGATCATTTTTTGCCCGGTCGCCTGAAAAAAAGTGGGTAAGTGATAACGTAATTTTCCGCAGTGTTTACAACGGTCAGTTACGGCTCTCTTTGTCTCTACTCTGTGTCCCTACTGATTTCAAGAATATACATGGCTAAAGTAGAAAATAAAGCTGAAACAGAGTGTCAATTACACAATTGTCAATATATACAGTTGTCAAATGTTGATGTGTAGTCATTCATTATAGGAGTTAGGTGTCAATTGGGATGCAAGTCCTGTTCCTCACTCAAGTCACACCTTTATTGTATTTTTGCATGTTCTGTAATAGTGTCAGTAACCAATTCTTGTTTGTATGTTATATGTAAATGATTGTGACAAATCAAGTTAAAACTAGAAAATACATGCATGCAGAAATCCTCGCCTTGCTGACAAAACCATTATATTTTCCGAACATGAAGTATCTAAAGTAGTTGTTATGGTAACACGATAATTTTTTAAGAATATTCTTACAAATGAAAAATCGCCTAAAAATATCACTTTTAAGGGAGCATTCATTTTTTAGCTGGGGGGGGCCGGAGGAATTGGGGGTGGGTCAGCCAATTTTGATATGCTTCAAAGGGGTGGGTCTTTTTATAGTTTTGGTATACTAATGGAGGGGGTCATAAAAATAATCAGAGAAAAAATCACCAATATAATTTTATACAATTTGGAAATATTTGGATCATGAATGGTAAAAAGGTCCAGAATCTATCAACTATTTTGTCATCTATAACAATAAAGCAAAATTCATTTGACGCTCTGTTCACACAGTCCATAGGAAAACATTTCCATGATATGTTTGTGATGTTACTCTGAGTGCATATCCACACCGGGCGAGCTTGAAAAATATGCCCGGCCACGGTGGCCGGGCATATTTTTCAAGCTCGCCCGGTGTGGATATGCACTCAGAGTAACATCACAAACATATTATTCACCTGAGTACACAACACCAGCACAGAAAAAAAATTCATATTACAAGAACACATTGGTATTGAAGGAACTAGATACTGTTCCGAAATATCACTTACTCGAACCGTCCTGACCGCGTAGCTCAGTTGGAAGAGCATTGGGCTAGTATTCCAAAGGTCGTAGGTTCGTATCCCACCGTGGCCGGGCATATTTTTCAAGCTCGCCCGGTGTGGATATGCACTCAGAGTAACATCACAAACATATTATTCACCTGAGTACACAACACCAGCACAGAAAAAAATACATTTCCATGATGTTCGTCAATTGACCTTTTTATCCGTTTTTGTGTGAAAACATGAATGAAAGAAAACGCAGGACCGTAGCATGATTTCAAAATCATGCATGATTTCAAGGTCTGCATGACTTCAAAATCATGCAGCCTTTATCAATTTAAGCTTTATTAATTTTAAGCGGATACATTATCCATGACAAACTGCAAAGAATGAAGATAGTACCCACAGTTTCCTGCAACTTATCCTAGTTATCCAATATATAGTAAATTAAATGCGCCTATATAGTAAATTAAATACTACCAAATTGTAAATTTCGACATACTAAAACACTGTTTTCTGACCATCAGAATTCTGTCAAATCTTCCCCCCAAAGGCCAGGAAATGGCATTTCAGAGACTCTAGATTTAAAAATTTCCTCGGGCCTTCGGCCCTCGCTTTCAGCCCCCAATCAAAAAGAGCTTCCTACGGTCCTGAAACGCTATGGAAACGACACCGTGTGGATTAATAGTTAGGATGAGGGGTGAAAAAATGTTCAGTAAAAAAAATAGGGGGTCATAATTTTTTATCAACTATTGTCTTGGTAGTTCCAAGTTTTCGCATGGAATTAGACATCAGTTCCTCCGGCCCACCCCCCAGCTAAAAAATAAATGCTCCCTAATTACAAAATTATCAATTTCCCAACATATATATATATATATATATATATATATATATATATATATATATATATATATATATATATATATATATATGGTAGGTATGATATTATAC